AGTTAGTACTTTTTAGTTTTTATTTCATGGTTCATGTGACTCTGCTCTAAAATTTGGTGTAGAAATAAAGAAAAGTTAAAGTGATTAGAAGGAGGTTTTTCGGGGAAAGATCCAAGCAAGAGTGAGAATGGAATAGGTAGCACTCTAAAAGAAAGATCAAAGGATTAGTCTGAATGAGGACCTAATGAATCTATTCATTAATATCTTGGCAAGGAAACAAAAAAGATCGAGGGCTGTTTGAACATAGGATGAATTGAGCTATCCACCAGATGAACCCTTATTCAGTGAACAAATCTATGCAGKGGTGGATCCAGAAATTTTCCAGAGGAGGGGATTTACTGATCCAAATATATTTTAAAAACACTAACAACATTTTTCCGAGCGTGAACTTTTCAGAATTGAGATTTCAAATAYCATTACGTGTGTGGCAAAAAAATACGCAATAAAAAATATGAACGGTTTTTGTTTGAATTTTTTCATTATCGTCTTTGAAGAAATTACAAAGAGGAAAATCTAGAGCACTGGACTTCTCCTCTGAATCCGCCCCTGCTATGAAAAGAAATAGCTTCGTCCATCCTTCGTACAACTTTTCCCAGACGAACAAATCAGTGATAGCAATTGATACTCTAGAAGAAGGCGTTAGCTGCGATTCATGGGGCTATGAGGACTATGATCTTTATATTCATTCCATGTTTGATAAGTTTATTATCTGTTTTATATATATCTATTACCATCATATCCAGGTATCCATGGTGAACACTCGGTGTCTACTGGTGAAGATGCAGGCGTGTTTGACATCAGTAACCGKCGTCGTCTTGGTCTGTCTGAAGTACAGTGTGTACAAGACATGTACAATGGAGTCAAGAAACTCTTAGAGATTGAACAAGCGTAAACAGCACTTTGGAAATTCCATGCTTATCATCCACTGTCGATTTTTGAACGATTATTGCAATATGCATCCATATGCAAAATAATAGAACTCTTTTTGAGAAGATAATTTTGAAGGGAATAATTCATAGAGGAATGTTTTTGGGCACTGCAGAAAATGAAATGGTTTATTGTACTGTGCAAAGGYAGGTTTTSGTATGTGATATGTGAAATAAGCGGACGAGAAGGAAGTGGTGAAGGAATCAGAACGAGGGATTATCATTTTCCTTTCACTGTTATTTGCACATATGTCACCGCATTCCTTCTAGGTCTCTTCTATGCTCCGTGGTATCCACTTAATTCACAAATGAAAGCCATGCTTAAGCGCTATAATTCGTTGTCAAGTTACGTCACAGCGGCCATCTTGGAGGAACTTCAACAAAGTACATATTGTCCATTCCTCCAACATGGCCGCTGGTCTTTTCTCCTTTGAATCTCATGGTTGAAAACGAACAATCGGTTTTCGGAAATTGCATGTTCAAAAAAGTGGGTTTAAATCGTTTTTCGACAGACATAAGTGATTCACAACTTGTAAATTATTTAATCCGTTTAAGATGCATAAATTACAAGTTGAGGTCCTTCGTTTTGCTTAATGACGTCGCTTGACAATCATATTTTCCTCGTGCGAGGTGAATTTGCAAAAAGCGTTACAAACACTTCGGAAGAATAGAGTTATCGGCGGATGCGGATGCGGTGGAACCGGAATTATAGGTGTGTTAACTATTGAATTGATATTGTGTGAATTGGTGTGTTATTCTTACAAAGGAAATAAATGCATACAAATGAATATAATTAATGCATCCATTGTTTAAATTTATAAGTGTTTGCTAATTTGAAATATTTAAAACCCTTTATTACATACACACGGTAGTACGCTGACCACGCCCAATACTTCAAAATGAAAATTTACTAACAATGACGTAGTCTTCTTCGCAGCTCCTTTTGTCGGGCTTTCGAGGGAGGAACAGGAATTCCACATAATCAGTCCCTAACTGCAGTTCTGGGCCACAACATGAAAAGTAACGTGACCATATGCCATTGTTTCCAAGCAGCCGAACTCATTGCAGAATATTTTAAAGAAAAATAAATCCATGGGGTACAGTATTGATGATAAAAGATGATATTAAAGGCAAAGGCATTTATAGTTACTAAAAAGACTGMTCTAAGCGCTTTAACTAAACAAAAAGTAGACTTTTCTTTAGAAAAAGCCATCTTTAATTGGAAAAATCTGATATAAGAAGAGCATGTTTCAATARAAGTCACCTTCTTTATTGGATAGATACTTGTTTACTCAAGCATAATGACGAAACGATTGATTGATTGATTAAATAACTAAGCTGTAGTCCAAAAGGTGGATAATAGAAGATTCCATTGCAAACGCTTAATACCAAATTCATGCACAATTAGAAACCAAATTTGTCGATGAATTTGGAAGAAGTGATACATGAAAATGAGTCTAAACACCAATCATAGCGCCCCTGAGAAGTGACCAATTACAGCTCGCGCTTCCCAGTTCAGGTGATAGAGGACGTTGGTTTGTCTTTAAAGCAATCATTYTCTATATCTGGATATATAAATCGTTTGTTTGGTAGATCTGATCGAGTGTAACCATGGACAAAGTTGATATACAAAAGTAAGTTTAAGGCCCGTTTACACTTGCGACTTTTGCAGCTCGATAATCGCCACTTTTGCTATCGCGCAACTCAAATCGTACGCGTAAACTGCCCTGCGATTGTTGCGACGATGAAAAATCGTCCAAAAGTTGCAGCAAATTTTCAAGCATGTTCGAAACTCTGGCGATATTCGCGCGACGATCGCCCCGAGAATCGCTCTACAAAATAAAAGTCGCAAGTGTAAACGAGCCTTTAAAATTCTTTTGATGGACACATCTTTGTCGGTGTTGTATTTTTCCTATTAATTTGATCAACAAACCATTTAAACTGTGTTAGCCTCGAAACTATTTAATTTATTCTTTTTTCCAGTGACCCAGCCCGCGCAAATGCAGTTATGAATAGAGAAGACAATAAAGATAGCTTGAAATTTTCATTAGTTTTATCTAAATTTCTGCATATTTTACACACAATTGATGCTAACACAGTGTAAAAGAGATCGCGAAACTCTACAATTCAATAGTCGACTTTAGATATTTTGGTTCAGTGACAATGCACAAAAGAATTGCAGACGAGGCTTCGGGGAAATAAAAGAATAAATCAAGATTATTCATTTTTTTCCCGGAGCCTCGTGTGCGTTCTTTTGTACATAGTCATCAACCAAAATATCTAAGGTTGACTATTTTGCCACTGAATTGCCTTTTTTCACAGCCATTGTGATCGGTTATCACTATTTTGATTCTAAATTAGTGGGATCAATATACACTTTTTAATTGATAACTATTGTTCTCTTATTCGTACATGTAATATTCAATTTTCTTGTAGGACACTTTTGTCTCAGACCTAACGATTCTTGCTAGTCTTTTCGTTTCAACGATTTGGACTGAAAATCGCATATCGCATTCTGCTCATATGTTCGTCTGAATCAAATGACAAACTAAACTTTTTCCGTCCTCTTAACAGGAGGAGCCGACGGGGTCTGTTCTTCTAAATAACTGTTCTTGTACGAATTTTTTCCTGGGAAAGGGATTTTGAGCTGTACAGTTGTTGACAATCTCACAAGAAAATGTCGCGCCCTTACTTCTTTAAAATAATTTTGTTCCTAGAAAACGCTTCTAAGGTCAAAAAAGGCTTATATAAAGTTTTTATGGTCAAAAAAGCTTATAATTTTCTAGTTGGGAAATGTTTATTATTAGAAAGTATTCCTTGACTGGAGAGTTCTTTTTTCCTGAATTTCTCGCTGGCAACCAGTTGTGACTTACAGCTGGCTGGGACATAAGAACAGATATATTTCTCCCAGTAACCCGTCAGAACCTCCTATCTAAATTCAAGTTTCTATTTGTCAAAGAACGGACGGGCGGGAGACATTGTTTTGATTAAGCTCTTTAAAGGGTGTAAATTTTATGTAAATATGATGTAAGTGTCCAAAATTCTGTAAATTTGATGCAAATGATGTCCATTAAATTTACAGAATTTTGGCCACTTACTTCATATTTACATCAAATATACAACCTTGCAGGAGACTACAACTTTGACTTTTCAGTTATCGTGTTAAATTTATATAGTGGTTGAAATAATAAGTTTTGAAACCGTGAGAAGTAGGTGAAATAACTGACTGACCTTCGCGACATCTTTAGTCCGMGTAGAGCCGATAATGATTTTTTTCTGGTGGAACTATTATAGCATGGATGTTTTCAATTGCCTTTAATGCAAAATYAAAATATATAAAAATTAAATTTTTAACCATTTGTTGAGTATTTCAAATTAGTCAAGCTTGGGGGTAAAACTCCAACGGGGGAYGAAAATTAATGAGATTATCATAGCGAAGAAATTCACGAAATTAATGCCAAAGGACTGGTTGATAAAACTAAATGCGTTGTCGTTAAGTTATATATATATCTTACTCTTTTTTCTTTCTCGAAGAAATTAAATAAGCAAACCAAAAGTGATCTGCAAAGACGCACCAAACGTTTTACCCGGACAGGTCATGAATTTAYATCAAAAGGATATAGAAAACTTGCCAAACCAATTTCCCAAAAATTACTTTTCAGTACACAATTTCATTTCACRCTTCAATTCATACCTTTAATTGAGAGATCTTTCAGAGATAACCAAGATATATATGAGGATCCGACGGATTCCCGGGAGAAATGTATCTAGTTATGTYCCAGCCAGCTAGATTATAAGTCACAACTGGTTGCCAGCGAGAAATTCAGGAAAAAAGAACTCTCCATACAAGGAATAATAATTTTAAAATGACGAGGAATACTTTCTAAGAATTTTTGGCAGGAAAATATAATTTCCTAACTGAATAAAAAATATAAGTCGTTTTTGACCTTAAAAAACTCATACATAATTAATGAGCTACTAGGCCAATAGAATGAGCCTATTTGGTCACATGCATGGACCTTTATATCTGATAAAACACTCCTTATTAGTATTCTTTATATAAAGAATACTAATAAGGGTGACCTTTATCAGATATAAAAGTCCATTACCCTAGCAAAGGTCTCAGGTTTGAAACCTTATCATTGACCAATGCAGGATGTCAACCGATTTCRGTGAACAGCCAAGAGCGGTTCTATTTTACTTTATGCGTATTCAATGTGGGATGACAAGAGTGCTTTGTAAAGTGATTCGCGCATGATCAGTTTGCCCCATTTATCTCTGAACATATTTGTACGGCAATTTCTCCAAGAATTTTAACGGATTTGAGTTTCAAATTAGTGTTGGAGTTTTTTAAGCCGTTTAAAACACTCTCTCGTGTTTTAAACTATACTTAAAAACGTTATATAGCCTTTTTATGACCTTAAAAGCGTTTGCCAGGAACAAAATTGTTTTGAAGAATCGATAAAGAAGGAAAAGCACGACATTTGCTTGTGAGATTGTCAACAATGTACGTAGTATAGCTCAAATCCCTTCCCAGGAAAAAAATTCTTAAAAGAACAGTTATTTAGAAGTACAGACCCCGTCGGCTCCTCCTGGATATTTTTGAATGATATTTATCATTTGCTGCAGATTGAGAGGAGAAAACAAATACCCTTTGGTAATTCAGAGCGACAAATACAAGTCGAAAATGCTAATGCCAAAATACCTGACACTAGAGCGATTTGATGCGTTGAAGGAAAAGAAGACATCRCGGGGATTCTCCTTGTGGGATTGTATCAACCCAGGCTTAGCCMATTCGGAGTTGAGTAAGTGCCTCATCATTGATGACATCTTTTCTAATTTTTTAAAAGATGTTCGTAAATATGGGATGACCAAAAGGGRTTCGCCTAAGTATTTTTCTTTTTACCATGCAATCATAGCTTGTCTGTTTGCTGTTTTGTTGGCAGACATCACCAYGCTTAAGGCGATGTGATCTAAGAAAACTAAATTGCAGACAGAAATATTTCTCCACTTAATTCCTTTGCATTATCCTCGAGCTCGAACACTGAGCTGTCTCTGGAACGACTTTCTTCGATCGTAAGAGAAAAAGTTGTATTTACTTGGGRCGGTTTTTACTAAAGGTTGAAGCCCTATTAAATACTTATATTTCTCTATTTTATGTTGTTATTTTCACTAACGAAAATAACACATTTGAGCTTTGTAGGTTTCTTTATAAAGTGAAGTAAGAAAAAAGGTATTTTACGACATAATTTGCCTTCATATGTAATTATATGACAAACAGAATATTGCATCGTTTTATCTTATCTTCTCGTGTTGAAAATCTCAGTGTCGAGATCTTAACTTCGAAGATAAAATCCTATCTCCGCGCGTCCATGTAATATCCTCTATTTATCTATATAACGTCTTTGGCGTGGATGCTTTTATCAAGGTGGATAGCTTTATCAAAACTTGGAAAAAACTGATTCCAGGAAAATAACAGGCTGCGAGCGACACTAGTCTGCTGCGAGCAATTCRAGGGCGTCAGCCGAGAATAAACCCGACCATTTCCATGATCGCATGAAGCGTGCACTTACAGGCTGCCGCCATCTTCCTTCAACTAAATCATTCGTCTTTGTTCAACATCATGAGTAAGATTCGCAACCAATCACAATACAGCGTGCGCTCGTATATTATACATTTAAATGCGYTAAGCATACAATAGATTATAGATTGATAGTAGCTGTGAGGTACTTAGTTTAGGGTACTTAATTTCTGTCCAAACTGGAAGGATGATAGACGATTCGCGCTTCACTTTAAAAATCCTACTAAATCACCATTTTTTTTTAAATGGCGCTTCGGTTCACAAGGTACAACGGTTGTTTGGGGTTCTTTAAAATGACATACATATGACTGTCTACATTTCTGTTGAAGTCGTAGGAGTATGCGCGGGAGATGAAGAAAGCTACGCCGTCTTTGCTGACTTGATAAATCAAGTTATTGAGGACTATCACTCACCTTACAAGCTGAAAGATGGACACGTTTCGGACATGAATCCCGAAAAGTTCGAAGCGCCAAATCTCGATCCTGACGGCAAGTATATCAGATCGACGAGGATACGTGTTGCCAGGAATCTGAAGGGGTTTGGATTGGCACCMAGTCTAGGGAAGGAAGAACGGATTGATCTGGAGAAGAAGGTAAGTCAATGTCAATCTTTGTTCATGAATAGCACATTGGCATCATCTCACAAATAAATAAGGAACATATGGCGAATAATGGAGCAGTTTAATGTAACACTATACAAAAGTTTAGCTTGCTGTTATTCTGTATAACGGTTTGCTTGGTGATCCAGTGATTTTTGTATTTGTCGAACTCTGTTAAGTTTACGAGTTCAGTGTATGTCGTATGCTGATTGAATGTCAAGCAAAATTAATAGAGCTAGTGGTCCACCTCGAATCAACAATATGTAATAAATGTAGTTGGAACATTCGAGCTATCAATACTTCAATAATTTATACTGAACTCAATTTKGTGTTACCCCATGTTACTATGAGTCAATCCAAACACTGGTTCCAACGATTGCAAAGCGTTCATGAGCACATCTTCTGAAACATACTACAATTCAAAACAGATCGTCAGTGTTCTGAATGTGTTGACTGGAGAACTTGCCGGTACTTATTACCCACTTTCTAGCATGGATGAGAAGAAACGGAAACAACTAGAAGACGACCATTTATTGTTCAAGAAAGAATCTCCTTTCCTTGAGGGTGCAGGTTGCACAAAGGACTGGCCACGAAGTAGAGGAATCTTCTACAATAAGGACAAAACGTTGTTGGTATGGGTGAACGAGGAGGATCATCTACGTATTGTCAGCATGGAGAAGGTTGGTTGTTGATTTTGATGCCAAGAATTAATTAATCATAAGCTGTGCACTAATAGATCAAGTAGGGAAATGGCAAGCAAAAGTTATAATACACCTATTTCAAAAAACGTTGTCGTCACCAMGACACAGTCCACAGTCTTGAGCCTGCAAAGAATCTCGGGGTTTCCATGCGTAATTAATATATTCAAAATATATCGTGGTTTGAATTCAATCCCTTGWAAAATATTCCACGCTTTCAAACCGTCAATGAGTTTCAAAGCTATATTCGCTACGAGACCGAAAATAATCCAGTTTCGAATTCTCTAATGCTCTGTGTCAGCCTCATTTATGCGTAAAAATATTCCTAATTGTGCTGAATAAAAGTGTGAGATTTCAAATCAATTCTATTGTCTCTCCATGTCTCTCTCTTCAAATTCCATGCGTTTTCTCGGGATGTCAATGAAACAAAAGAATAAGTTGCTTGGTTTTGAGGCTAACACGGACCAACGAACTCTAAATTGGAGTATTTTAAATAACTAAAAATTGAATATATATGTTTTTTATGGCAATCCCGAGATTCTTTGCAGGCTCAAGACCGTGGACTGTGTCCTGCTGACGACAACATTTTTTGAAATAGGTGTATATTATGGCATCACCAATGTCAGCTAAGGTGGAGGCATTGGACGAGTATGTCAAAAAGGATTTAGGTTTAATGATTCTCATATCAATACTCGGTATTGTTTTCGAGCCAATAGTCTCCTTCACGACTTTCCTGCGGCATATTGAAAAGTAGCCGTACCTTTACATCAAAACGAGACAACCGTTGAGCGTGCAGTGATAGATTATGAATAATTATGAATAATTGTCTTTATGTGTGAAAAAAGGTTTCTATACTTGCACGCTCAATGCTCGTCTCGCTTCGATGCAATGGCACCTTTCAAAGTGGTGCAGGTAACCGTGAAGAAGACTATTACCTCAGTCTTYATTCATAATAAGCTGTCCTTCTCGTTAGGGAAGCAACATTGTATCTGTATCCAGACGACTACATAAAGCGCTGAACGAGATCAATAAACACCTTGAATTTCAATACACTGAATCACATGGGTAYCTGTCATGTTGTCCTAGCAACCTTGGGACTGGTATGAGGGCTAGCGTTCATATCAATATTCCTAAAGCCAGCGAACGTCCTGATTTCCAAAMGATCTGTGAWGARTACCACATTCAAGCAAGAGGTGAGAAGAAGAGACCGAGTGAGTCAGGAATGGATACACTTCTGATCTGAGAGTGAAAAACTATAGTCTGTCGAGTTTCCTTTTAGTTGATTTGGCAATGTGCAGCGACGCCATTTTGTGCAGCAAAGCATCATGGTAGTCATAGTCCTACGCTTGTACACTAAAATATCTACTTAAAAACAGTTGAGTAAAAAGATAAATTTAACAACGTAATTAAAAAATAGGTAAAGCAACTTATTGACGTTTCGGACGTTAATCCTTCGTCGGAGGATTAGTGTCCGAAGGATTAACATGGATTAGCGTCCGAAACGTCTGTAAGTTTCAACAAGGTGTTAAATTTTTCTTTTTACACAACTGTTTCTTTAGAAACACCGACGCAGATAAAACTCGCTTACCGCTTGTTTCCACCATATCTCTTTAAATTTAACAACAGATATTTTGCCTTAGAAAAAGCAAAAACTTTTCAGAAGAGCTTTGCCTCAAAAAATGGGGTCGCTCTGAATTGTATTCAAGCCGAGAAAATGCTTCTTCGCAGTGCGTGTATGCTTTCATGTTCGAGAATTCTCGAGAATCAAATCAGAGATGCGTACAAAATTACTATGCAATGCCCAATTTATACATTTTAAATTTCCAGGTATCGATGGTGAACACTCGGTGTCTACTGGTGAAGATGCAGGCGTGTTTGACATCAGTAACCGTCGTCGTCTTGGTCTGTCTGAAGTAAAGTGTGTACAAGACATGTACAATGGAGTCAAAAAACTCTTAGAAATTGAACAAGCGCAAACGGCACATTACTGAAATTAGAATAATATATTTGCTTTATGACACAGAATCAAGGTTTATATATGCCACCATCTTGGTTAAACATGCAAAGAATCTAAAAGCTTTTTTGTCGTCATTGACTCGTTTACGAGTAATATAAACAATGGAAGTCACTAAATTTGATTCCGGATTCCTCTTATTGTCAAATTATATTTCCATTGTTGCGGCTTCCGGTTTCCAAGTTGTCGGGTTTCATTGGATTCCAGAGTCAAATTGTACGGTCTCGATTTCCATATGGAGAAACTTTACTATGCTTTACAGGCGCGTAGCGTCCTTTCCGCATAAATACGCACGTGCGTACGTACTATTAGCAAGGAAACATTAGAATTTTCACGGCAAAAATTACTGAAGAATACTATGATATGCTCTCAATGTCTCTCAAAGCGCTGGAAATCGCATTTCCAAGAGAGTTATTATTTCAAATTTTCCTGGGGGAGGTCCAGACTCCAATTAATACGTGTACTCCCGCCTTTGGCTGTCGTTAGATCCCCAGATCCAGAATATGTTGCCGCGGTCCCTGACACTCCAGTGCGTACTAGCCAAAAAGTCCACGCCACGCGCCTGCTTTAGCCAAGAACGTCCTTTCATTGAATAAACTCGAGAAAAATGATAAACAACAACAACAACAACAACAACAAAAAAACAAACAAACAAAAAAAAACAACAACAACAACAAATTGATAATGCTGAGGTCTATCTCGTCACAGGCTAGTTTTTGATCCCGCGAGGCAAGGTATCACTGACGTAATACCACAGGTAACCCGCATTTAGCTGAAAGCGCGCGCCGATAAGCACAGGGAGCACAGGCTCACACGGGGCGAAAATCGTGCAACCAAACACATGCCCGTCGGTGTTTGGTTGCACACTTTTCGCCCCGTGTGACCCTCCGAAGAGTCGATGTTTTGTTCGTTCCAGTCTCTCTCGGATTTAACGGCTCTTTGGCTGNTTTATTGGAATTATTGCGTAGCCTATTTATCCCTTCGAATCCCTGCGAGTGAGATTTTGGTCTGGGAGCGTTTTTCGTAGAGCAAATTGATATCGAGTAGAGCCGTTTGGAGGCGGTTTCATGGCGTTCGTCTCCTCCCTTTACTTCTTCTTTGCTTGGTGGGGAGAAAGGTACTGAAACTCAAGGAAATCGGCTGAAACTTCGTYAGGGGATTGCACAATACRTCAATAACAACATGTTTGAGTTTTGTTTCGATTTATTAAAATTCAAGCGAGAAATTCTCGATTCAATAACAYCAYAYAAACTYTTCAAAATAACGGTAAATATAGAGGGGAGGGGAGGGGTGGTGTACATAAGAAACACTGATAAAGAGCCTGTGCTCCCTGTGCGATAAGTAACAGTGTAAAAGCGTGCGCTTTCGTTTTTTTCTTTCTCTCAAGCAATAGTTGGGTGGCCTATGATAGGCAGTCCGGTTTATCATCTATAATAACATTTTTTTTGTTCTTGAAAATAATAATAATRATAAACTAAGAAATAAAAATAGAAATATAAAATAAATAAACCTCATTAGTCTATCGTTGGTCTTCCTGTGTTAACGAATGTTATTGATCAGCGGCTTCACTCTRTCACAGCATGCGCGCAAGTTCCCGGTCTTTTTCCATCCCATCGAAATTTACACGAGATGAAGAATCGATAATCGGACACAATTTGTATTCAGATTAACTTAATAATGGACATTCATCAATTAGCGACAGTGTTTTCCTCAACTTTCGACCCAAATCTGCGCCAGGATGCCGAGAAACGCTTGGAAGAAGTAAGTGTTCATTGATAAAATGCGCCCACAAACTCGAGTGCTCATCATACATATTTTGAAATCATGAGTAAAATTTGGCAAAATTTTCTGGTTTTGTCATGTTTTCCACATTTTTGTCTACAATTACAAACTTGCCGTATGTGAAATAATGTGTGCGATTAGAGTTGAGAAAGTTACTCGATTTTAGGGGATTTTTGGTGTTTGTCTTCCTGCAAGAMCTTTGTTACTGAACGCTCACGTGTGCAACAGCATACACAGATGAAATAAGTTTTTTGTATTTTCCTTCTTGTTAATTAATATTTAGTTATTTCAAGAAATAGATTATATTATAGTAGTTCGAAGGAAGTAATTTTTTTTTTCGCGACTCGAAGTTTCTACTTAAAAAAATCACTTTTGTTTCTATCAATGAAATTGCGATATTTTCGTAACAAATTGCCGAGCTCAATATTTCCACTTATTTTGTTACTAATTTTCTATATTTATTGAGTATTAGTTGATGAGATTACGATTATTTTCACCAAAAATTCTAGTTTTATAGAAATCAAAAGAAATTCGAAAATGATTTGACATTTTATATTGTGAAACTCGAATTTATGACGTCATTAATTGTCAATTGATAGCATGTTTTATAATTGTTTTATCACGCATTTATCTGTTATTTGTTTTTAGTTATTTGTTTGGAAAAAATACACTTAGAAAGAAATAAAATGACACTAACAATAGATTTGTCTTTTGTTTCATCTTATTATCAATGAAAGACAAACCTACTGTCAATGTTTCTGCTAAATAATGTTTATAGAATCAAGGTTTTGTGTAATAGCGTATGATTTTGTTATGTTCTTTTCATTGATATTGTAATTATAAGCTTTTATTATAAYATTTTAAGCTGTCATGTTTGGTATTGATGGAATGGAATATAGAATCACCATCATCATCATCATTTCTATTATTATCATTACATCAATTATATACATGATATGTTGGGAGGCGTTTAAGGTAATTTTTTCAGAATGAGAATTTATAGATATAATCAACAAACATTTTTTCTTTGTTTTATTCATTAAAATGTTGATTATTATTCTGTTCCAGTTAAAGTTTCATCCAGGRTTTGTAACCATGCTCCTTCATCTAATAATGTCCAATGACATCCAACTTCCTGTAAGACAAGCCGGTAAGATTTAAGAATTTAGATTGATTGAAGATAGTGTACTATGATTCTTGTGTATCAAAATATATCGATCTATTTAACAATTAGACCTCGAGGTCGAGTGGACTACGAGCTAATAGCCCATAAGGCCGAGTCCGTGAGGCCGAATGGGCTATTAGCTCGTAGTCCACTCAACCTCGAGGTCTAATTGTTTTAGTATAAACATACTAATTGGCCAAATAATGAAAATAAATTGAAATATCCTTAAAATAATTTATAATTGATAATTTATTTATTTTGATTTTCCCGCGAGTGGTCTATCACAAATTAGACCACTAGTAGAGTAGCCAATCAAAGCGCAGTATGAGTGATAGACCATTAGTATGTTTATACTAAAGATAGATAGTTGATAGATCCTCTAATCCTTGATAACAGTACAGAGTGCACGCCAAAAAAGCGTAAAACATTTCTTAACTATCAACATCTAATAAGGTTTAGTTATCAACTAACTAAGAATTCACTGGGGCATGAACACAATGCCAGAAAGGAATTGTCTTTGTTTATTACTCATTAAATTCTTAGTTAGTTGATAACTAAATCTTATTAGGTGCTAATTAGCTAAGAATTGTTTCATGCTAATGTGGCGTGCACTCTTAAAAACAAAAACAAAAAAACAATGAAAAATTCTTAATCACAATTAAACTGTAAACAACTTTTATCTTGAACTCGAGTATATTCAAATTATCACTATTATGGGAACAAATGCAAATTGTGCACAAAATTATGTGCAATTACCTCATACTGATATAAACTTACTGTGTTTAGAAAACTCAGTTACTTTGTTTCTGATTCATAAATTTTCATTAAAAACAAATAGTGACTTT